TGAATTTCCTAATAAATCGTGACACCCATGAATACCCATCTTCCTATAAATAAATAAATAAATAAATAAATAAATAAATAAATAAATAAATAAATAAATAAATAAATAAATAAATAAATAAATAAATAAATAAATAAATAAATAAATAAATAAATAAATAAATAAATAAATAAATGCAGATTTGTTTTGATGGTTGTCAACTGTATTAATTGCGGTAAGCTGGTATTACTCAATAGAACAAATCATATTTACAATTAAAATCATCGGAGACACTATCAAGATTTGAGGTCGCGTAGAAAACAAAAATTCTGTCTATTCTCGAATCACGTTTTGCATAAGAACCAACTATTACATAAATTTTCAAAAACATTTTGGCTTTATTTGTAAAACTTCACTTATTAGAGTGTTTACTGCGTTTCGTTTTGTTAGTTTCGTCTGCGGGCAGTTTAATAGTAGATTGATGCCGTCAATTGTAGAAGTATTGTAAACCGGCGATGGTTACATACTTCTTACAAATTAGCATCTTCCGTCTTAGGCATCATCCGTGCATTTTTTTTAAAAAAAAACAAGCTGTATGTCGCCCTCTTGAGTTGTGTCCATTAAAGTGTTTGCCGGAACTTTGAATCTCGCGAAAGATAGATCCGTATATTCGTCTACAAGAAATAAAGGCGATATATATATAAATTTGTTGTTTACATAAAACTCGAAAGCGCGTTGCACGACGACGATGACGACGCAATCAACTAAAAAAACATAGCGCCTTGAATACAAGAAACTCTTCTTGACAAAACCCTGCTGCAACACTTTGCAAATTGCTAGGTTTTTTTTTTAATTTGGAACCAAACATGCTTGTTCGTTGCACGAAGGTCTTCAACAACATTGATGGAAAAAAATGGTATGGTATATTTAGTGAAACGATATTGTGACGTCACGTTAGTATTCGTTATCTGTGAAACGATATTTTATTCTACGTGGACAATGTTGAGAGTAAAAACCTTAGATTACTTAATTTTTTTAAGAATGGCGATTTTTTGCGACATTTTGATTTACATGCAAAACTGATTTAGGAATTTACATGAGAGAAGGTAACGCTCTTATGGTTGGACACGTGTCTGTGTTTGTTTCATATTCTCATTTAGAATTATTTCTGAGACATACACTGTGGTCAAATTTATCTCCATTAAAAAGATAACCCACAATACCATTTAATCAGCTTCAAGTGTATATATATTGTAAGATATAGTTGTCATGGGAACCCTTCATTTATGGGGTTCTTCACGGTATTGTAGTTGTGAAGGAGTCGGAAGCCTTTCGAAGTGTTTAATTCTATTTTGATCTAAGTCGATGTGTGAGTTTTAGTGTGTGTGTGTGGGGGGGGGGGGTAAGTGCTACTTTTGTTTGTGGGCTGTGTTAGGGGCGGTTTGCGTTTTGCCTCACAAGAAAGAAGAGATGTAGAACGTTTAGTTTGGAGAGGGCGTAAAAACAATGACTTATTCAGGTTTCGGCGTTAGGTTTGTGTTTTTTTTGTATGTTCTCCGGTGATAGTTTGAACTGTTAAATGCCACGGGCTTACGGCGATGTAACGTTCGAGAAAACAATAACACGATACTAGACGATGTCTTGTTTTTTTATAAAAAAAAAAAAAAGAAGAAAATGAAGAAAGTTGACAGAGCTAAATGGTCTATATACAATAGTCATTATTGTAGTCCAATCCGCGC